TGTAAGACTTTGTTAATAAAATGCAGGAAACTGAAAATTCTAACGACCCTGATAAAAACGTTAGTTTTACTAAATCTGGAAGTCTGGGTGCTTAGCCGCATACTTAATCCATGGGTTTCGTCGAGATTCGGGAAACCGTCATCAGTCTCTAGTATGCAAACGAATATGCACATTATTGAAGAAGATCCAAGTGGTTGATAATAGTTTTTAGTCTCGAAACAATTTAGGGTTCTCGGTAATTATTCTACAGTTGCAGCACTTCGTTGTATTTCATGTATTCTAAGTCATATCTAGGTAGGGATATATGATATTTGGTGGGGTATTCACACTGAAAGATATATCGTAGATACTTTTCAGTATTTTCCATCTGTACTAAAAGCTTATAATACTTTAAGAAGTAAGTATTCTCCCTAACTGGCCCCACTACCTCTGAGTTTTGAAGTTAATTCATGATTAATACAAGCTATCGGTGTTATGCGAATTCATCCAGGTATTTTCATCCCAAAGGCTAGACGCACCTTAAACTCTGAGTAACTGATATTCCGATTTTGGTAGATTAATTCGTTAAAACTATCTTAAAACCGAAGCGTGTTTCACACACACTAAAAAATTGTTAACCTAAGTAACATTGTTCGTTTATTTTTGCGTAATTTTGAAACATTTGGAGAATTATCAAGCCGAATACTTATATTGACTGAATTGTGTCCATTGTCGGCGGTTAAAGCTGTATATTGTGACTTCAGTCAATCAGTTCTTATCAACGTAGCATGTGGCACACGGGCATTTCCCAGAGTATCCGTGCAACAACTCCCGTGTACCTTCGTAATGATGAAACTCTCTAATCATGAACTTAGGAATAACTAGTAATCAGTCAAAACTACTCAAATGCATTTCGTTCTGAGTATCCTATTATTCAATGCTTCGATTTATTATTATTTATTTATTTTAACACATAGATATTGGGACAAGGAGGCACCAAATACATATGCACCACACAGATCTCACTAGATTTGTGTGAGGGCTGTGATACTGCCCGGGTGCCTAAACCGAAGCAGGTGGTTTTCTTAGGGGGCCAATCCCCGAGCCTTCGACCTGAAGGTCTGATCCACGAGGCAGTGGAGCATCGTGAGGAGATGCAGTCCCATGGAAGCCGGTGACTGACAGTTGGTTCATACGCCATTTGTTCCCGCAGGGTACTGGAGCCGATGTGCACCATTGGTTTGTAATCCGGTTAAAGCGCCGGACATTCGCTTTTCGTCCTCTCATTTTCGTAAACAACAGTAATGCCACGAGAAGGCAGTGATTAGGACTTCCCTGGCAGAGGCTATATACGCATGGCCATGTGAGAGCATTTCAAGAGGGAGAGCGGACTCTTCCCACTCTCAGCCATACCAGGGCATTTTGGGGCATGCTTCGATTTGCTACCTTATGTCTGTTACAAAATGAGCAACTAAAAGTATTTCACTTTTGCTTTGTCTTTCAAGAATAGACTGAGTGCGTAAAAAAATTCAGTTGCAAGGGTAACAAGTCCTTACAATTGGCTGTTTTTGTGATATTAAAATGTATAAGGAGCGAGCGTAGCATGTAAGACTTGCTTGTGCAATGCAACATAAGTTCAATAAAATACTCTCAAGTTATCTCAGATTTTGAAATTTATTAGCACTGAATACAGCATTCTCTTGTTAGTAGGATGTGTGTTAAGCGAGATTCTTAAGTAAATACGTCATTTGTGTTCATTGTATATCCATTCATTACTCCCCTTACTGTTTGTGTTATGCATTTCTTTTTCGAAAAATCTATGTTTAGACATTGATATGCTTGACAAAATGAACGACTCTCAAATTGTGGACTGCGGGAGAAGAAGTGGATTTGAACGAATGATCCTGATGATGAAAGCAAATCCTTTGATACCTGTTGGTAAGATACACTAAAATTATTATTCCCTTTCCAGGTGTGATTGTCACTGGAGCTCTGCTTATCCGCATGAAGTATGCTAGCCGTAAAGAATTCGGATACTTAATCTATTTACGTCCGCTGAGTCAAGCAGTTACATTTTCAATGATTATTTACACCGCATATACTACACCTGAAATTTTTAACAAAAGTTCCTGTAAGTTATCAAAATAAATAGTTTCACGTAGTTCTGTGGATTTAAAGATACAAATAGTGACTTAAAAATCTTAATTATATAATTTTCAGTAGCTAATGCTTATTTCGGTGTTGCTTAGAAGAGTCCAACCCACGTGTGCAGCTGTAATAAAAGGTCCTTTTCCTCGCAAAGTGACTATACGATTTATATGAACACTTATTTAAAACACGAGTGCTCTTGCTATAGTAAAAGATAAAAAAATAAGCTATATATAACCGCGTCACAATTTTGGTAGAAAATGTAGTACTAACTAGGAACATCCGACATTGGTGCCAATAAATGGTATGGCCACCGAGCTCTATATGTGGAACATGTCCATGCCACTTAAGCCAGTGTCTTCAAATCGTCTCCAATACACCCAAATACACGTTGCCGAGCCTCAGAACTCCTCACACAATGTTCCCATCAAGCACGAGAAACTTATATGAATTAGTGATGGGACATATAATTGTAAAATTCTTCAGCTCTAAATGACATGATTCCCCCGGGATAGAGCAGAACTCTTATCTCAGAGTTCTTTATCAGGCCTCTCGCAACTCGACGATCGTCGCGTTGGCATGGAAAGGTTATGGAGGCTAAAGAAACTGATGTGGCCGCTGTTAAGCATACTGTAACACTACCTCCTAGACCTTTACAAATTATTGTCCATTGACCTTTGTCTTCTAAGGAGCACAGGACAATCTAGTCAAGTCTCCATGGAGAATAAACCACTCAAACCTTTCTAAAAACGTTACAGCCAGCTTTGGTATGGTATACGTATTCGAACTTTTAGGTAGATATCGAAAAGACTATGCAAGATAAATTCCTAAGCGCGTAATGTACACTTAAGAGGTTCATCCTCGTTGCCTTTGTAAATACATAGACTCATGCTTTTAAGGTACTTAATGGTTTTAAGTTAAGTTTTGTACAGTATTTCCGATGTAATCAGTGGTAAACTTTTCTACTGGTTATTGTATGAATTGTGTAGGCCTCCTTTAAGTAGATAAATGCATAGCAATCACCTACTCTAGTGTAGTAAGATGGAAATGTATGTGCACTGCTGCATCCTATTTTAGGACATAGTCTCAACACACGAAATCTAGAATTGTCCAAGTATTATGGAAAGCTGATTCTTTTCCAAAATATTCAAGCAGTACGTTCTCGTACCTCGGTTTACCAGGTCACTATCATTTCCACGTAATTTGAAGGCACTGCTTTGGTTTAAGCAACAAGTATATGTAAAACAATCACCCACAAACCATTGTGCATAGTAATATAAGTTTGACATATTTGTAGCAACTGCGGTCCGACATAGTATATAGACCAAATTGTGGTTATTAATAACCAGTATATATTTTCATTTTTTCATGACGGGTTGTTATTCCCTACTGCTATGACTTATCATATAGATACTTCATACGCTATTGAAATAAATAAAAACAAGATACTTAGATTGATGTGTGGTAATGAGAGTGAAATGTGATTGGTCGCTGAGCGTGAACAAAAGGGTACTCAGCCTGCTGACTATTAAATATGTGATTTCCCTTCATCTCAGTGATTCCTACTTCGGACTCACTGAGTGACTGCTTGTAATTGTGTTGAATAAAGTATTATCTAGTCTATACTCTAGTTGTCTATTCTGGATCGGGAATCCTGGATCTCATATAACGTGAATAGTCTGATTATTATGTGAACGTATTATTATAACATACGTGAGTGAAAAAAATATTTTCAACCATCCATTGTATCGCATATCTGTTTTGTTCTTTGCATTTACAACATCCCTCTAGTCGAATAAGTAAGTTTTTAAGGGTCATGTACCCAGCAGTCATAACGGGAAAAAACTTGTGTTTATGTATATACACGGACCAGTTCACTATGTAGGTTTTATGCTAACGGAAAAACTGTTGACCCGCATCGACATACACTACCACACTTGTGCTTTGCCGATTTTGTTGAACAATCTAGTTATGGATGCGCTCTGCTGAGGAGTCCCGTTATAATGGTTTAGTGCTTTCTATTTTGTAATGTTTTTTTTAACTAAAAACCAGTCAGTTATGTAAGCAACAAGACTCAACCATCTCCACAAAACCTGAAGTAAAAAATTATGTGTCTTATCTTTATCTACTATAAGTAAATTAAACGATAAATCTAATACAGTGACAGTTAATAGCCCTTGGACTTCAGTAGCAAACAAACAAAACTAATGTACATGTGAAATAGTGTGTGCAAATAACCATCCCCTGTCTGTAATTGCGATTTTTAATTAGTGAGTGATTTTTTGTGACTCGAAATACTACTACCAGATAGATATTATTAGATGCAATACAAGTAATGCATCACACGAGGAATATGAGTAAATATGATGACGTAATCCTCAAGAGCTGTTGTACGGTCGAGGGTACGAAGGTTTCGTTGACAGTAGGAATACTTCCATTTAAGCGTTTGTAATCTCTTCCACAAAAGTTCTTATTTCTACGACTTTTTGTGTTGAGTTCAAAAAGGCTTTGACACAGCGAAGCGCATGAAGAATCAACCTTCTCTCTAGAGATCCTTTCATACGACCGCAAAACTACAGTCCTTTCGATGCAAATCTTAATGATAACCTTTCTGCATGCGAGAGTGGACGTATGGTGCTCAAACCCTTTGTAGAGATAAAGGATCAACTTATAGGGGCTGAAACACTTTAAATCCAGACAGGTGCATAGAATTCCCAGGATTCCGAGTAGACGAGCGAAATAGATCACTAAGGTCAACAATAATCGCGCGATCCTGCCTGCAGTTCCGCTTTTTTGTAAACTATACCTGCAGTTAATGGTCCCTTTAATTCCCGTTCATGTTCTGGTTGTGGATGAAATGACATCTTGAATACCTTCAACACACGCCCTTGACAATAGAGGGGTCTTTGGTCCGTTGAATAGAGCTCTGTTGGGATCCCGTTGGAAGGGCGTAACTGGGAGATTTATTACCACCTTAAAGCTACTATGAGAATATATTTCACACAGAGTGAGGCCATACAACCGTCTCTATTGTTCCACAACAACAGCGGGTTTATATATGTTTGCCGAGTCCCATCATTCCTATTCAGTTTTGCCATCGGCGACATACTAAAAACAAACCTAAAAGGAACATACAATGTGTGGGATTCAACCTTTCAGTGTAGTGACAGCACTGTCTTAGTGAGAGATTACACAGTAGGTTGTACACTGAGCCCTATTAAAATCCCCAATACAATGCGAAACATACTGTATATGTAAAACACGGTAGTTGAAAGGAAAGTAGAAAGTCGATTTCAAAGCCAATAATAATTTCTTACACAAAAATTATTGAGCACGTCATTATATACGTTATGTATATCTCATGTATTATATTATAAGGAAATAAAAAATATTTTCTCCAAAAACTGAATTTTTACCATTACCTTCATAGAATGGTATATGTCATAAACACATAGAACACTAATCACAGTATTCTTTTACGCTTGTTTTTGTTAAACCAAGAAGGGCTGAGCAAAATAAAATGTAATGGGACTTGAAAAGTGTGCTGGTAGTCAGCATACCAAAAATAATGGAATATGATAAGCAGAAGAAATTAGTAACTTGTTTAGCGTTAATATTAACAATAAAGCTAACGATTTATTGTTTTTTTTGTATTGAATAAATACTTCAGAATATATATTTGTATATACACATCTTGTTAGACCAGTCGACTCACATGTACAAGCAGTGAATGCAACAGGTCGTTTACTCCTTAACAATTAAAATGAACATAAAAGCCGTTTGACACACAAACACCAGAGATACGGCATCCATACACAGTTGAGCACTGCAAGTCTAAAATGACAGTCTTATCGAGTGGGGTAATATACTAATGAAGTAAAAAAGTAACATTAAAAATATTCTTGATAAATCATATCATCAGCATCCGTATTACATATTAATGAAACGTCAGGTATCATTCGATAAGACTTCATTACTACACAAACTAGACCAAATTAATTCATTCAAAAATATGTGCCAATCGATATCCCATTCATCTTGGTTGACAACAGATGGTAATGCTGATCGGGAATCATTCATACAATGTCTTAAAAGAAATAAATAACAATAATTCAATATAATAACTAACTAATAACTTGGCTATTTATAAAATCAGTATTACTCAAAATAGTTGATTAAAATACAACTAGCATTGTGAATGGTTCAATTTTTCCGCTTAATAACTGGTTAAAATACAAAGTTGGAAAAGTTTGAAATTTTTATGGCAAATTTAGTGCTTTATGTTAATAATACTGGACTTTATTCTAGTTTAACTGCAAAAGTATACTCAGTTTCAAAGAGTAATCAATATATTTCCAAAATGTTTTAAAGATCCTGAGTGTAATTTTCCTAATGCCCTGCTACGGCCGAGAGTGGGAAGAGTCCGCTCTCCCTCTTGAAATGCTCTCACATGGCCATGCGTATATAGCCTCTGCCAGGGAAGTCCTACTGATTGCCTTCTTGTGGCATTACTGTTGTTTACGAAAAACGAATGTCCGGCGCTTTAACCGGATTACAAACCAATGGTGCACATCGGCTCCAGTACCCTGCGGGAACAAATGGTGTATGAACCAACTGTCAGTCACCGGCTTCAATGGGACTGCACCTCCTTACGATGCCCCATTGCCTTGTGAATCAGACCTTCAGGTCGAAGGCTCGGGGATTGGCCCCGTAAGAAAACCACCTGCTTCGGTTTAGGCACCCGGGCAGTATCACAGCCCTCACACAAATCTAATGAGATCTGTGTGGCGCATATGTATTTGGTGCCTCTTTGTACTAATATCTATGTGTTAAGATAAATAACTTATCGAAATACTTACTTAATTATTTGTAATCTTTAATTGTATTTTGATCATTAACATATTTCAAACAGAAAGAATGCAGATCTATCAAGACCATGTAAACTTGTTACCAACATTAAATGCTACTACTATTGAGTTGTCGAAATGATTTATTTGTTTGTATTGTAGTACATACACAACACTTTTATGTAATCATTTTCCAAACTTTGTGCTGATTGTTCGAATCCCATTCTGTAGTGGGATGAGTAGTAGCTGTGTTCGTTGGGTCCATGGGTTGAACATGACTATAATTTGGAAGTTAGTCTGGTAGTCATTCACTTTCGAAATATATATACGCCTACACGTAAATCAAAGGCGTGAAACACAAAACCTTGTCATATGAGTATACTTACTTTTTTATTTCAGAGATGCGATAATTAACTATGTCAGTTTGAATAGAAATGTAAATGGATTCAAACTATGTACTGCATGAAGAGTGAGAAAAGTAGAATTAAAAAGTTCTGGGATGATTTATACCTTAAAGAAACATAACCTTATATTTCACTAAAACACAGAGCTAAGTTGGGATTTTTTCCAACAATTTCATTTAGTTGTGCTAATGGGGTATGAGAACTTGGACCGCTGTATACATGTGCAAGGTTCTACATTGGGTTTGATTGACCAAACCATCTTAGAGTAGAAAAGCTAGAATCGTTTAGCATGACACATAAACTGGTTGCCGACGACTAAACAGTTGATAGTCTCCAATTTTAGGTAAATCCCTGCTCTGACGCCGCACTGTGTTATTAATGATGGTCCGATGTCACTGTCAACCTGACTGTATTTAGTAGGATCTATTCTGAAGTTATTTTTTGTACAGTTATTCAAGTAATATTTAAGTGGAGAGAAGAAAAGCGGAATAAAACTTACGAATTAAAGACGTGTTTTTTATTTGGTTCTTTAGATTTTTCATCATTACTTGACTTTATATGTAAATCTTCCGATAATGACTTTGAATGGTTTGAAGAATTAGGATTTATTGATTTCACTTTATGGTCAAATACTTCCGAAGTGAAAGATTCCAAGTTAGAGTTGGAATCAATCGTTGGATTAACAGCCTGATGACCAGTAGTAGCCATATTCTCGGTAAAAGAAGGACTGTCGGTGGGTCCTGAGTTTTGAATAACAGAAGCAGTTGACGTACAATGGCTTGTATTTCCCGGAGTTTCGACCACCTAAAAAGCACAAGATTAAAAGCCTGTCAAAAAATCTGTTTCAATGTAGAACTCCATTAGGGAAATAGTTGAAAATATAAACATGAGAAAGTATTCACAGATAGAAATAAAATTAACAGCCTAAAAAGGTCATATATAGTAAATAGCGTATAGGATTTGCGTGTACCAGACATATTTGCACCTGACTAATAGTTAAGCTAACAGCTAAGACAGCATCAAAAATAAACATGTGTACGTCGCACAATTTAACCCTAAACGCATTTATTTAATGTACAACACAACTACAACTAATCAAACACACGAATCCCCCAGTTATATCTAAAAGCTTAACACCAAGGGTGAATACAATACCAGATTCCCGTCAACCTTTTAAAAGTTATCAGAGCTGATGTAAATCCAACAGGGAGTCTAGCTGATGAGTGAAAAACAGCATGACACCTAAGTCCAGAGTTTCTCGCCAACTACGTCCAACTACTTTAAGTTGATCTAAGGTAAATAGCCTAGTAACGGACGCTGATTAATTTAGCCATATGCGATGTAGAACACAGCACATATTTGCATCGATTCAAGTTTTTACACCACGTTAGCACGACAAGATAAGGTTACGAAAACCAATTCTGGAGCGATCAAAGTAGTAACGATATCAACAGTAGTAGAAAATATTAAGTATCGAAAGAATAAAATAGTATAAGGAAATGTCGAGATTCAGGATCCAAATGAAGACAGGGCAAATACACTTGCATCATCGCGAACAATTGTGAGACATGTCATTCAAGATCACTAGAAATCGGTAGTCGCGCTGATTCCAACCAAATAGTTTGCACTTAGCTACATGGGACAGCTAACGGTCAGTGACTTCATGAACTGGTGTCACGTCTTGATTTGGCTACCCCCAGCTTTTTTACAACAGCAAACATTGCACGTCGAGGTAGACGGTGGTTAAGAATACGTGATACATGTCCTAACTCTTCAGTCCATGGATATTTACAATTTCATAAACGGGAATCTGAAGAATGGACCTAATTTTATTTGATTGTTTTGATCGTTGATCATCCCAGTTTATAGAAAAGGACAAAAATTCTCTTGCAACAACTACAGAGGAGTCAATTTGACTAATATAATATGTAAAATACTAGCTTTAGTAATCATTTAACGCTTAACTAGGGGTTGTGAAAAGCGAACGCGGGAAAACCACGCCGATTTCAAACACGGGGGTGGAGGAACAAACTAAGTTTTCGTCCTTCGCCAGGTTCTGGAACATAAACTAAGTTTCTGACCACAGTTGTATTCTTTGACAGCATTCGACTCTATTGATTTTGAGGCTTCGTGACAGTGCCCCATTAAAAGGCATACCAGCTGGAAGCTGGTTTGCTTTCTCCCACAGTAGGCAGTTTCTGATGGTATTCGGTCAACGGATATTGAGTATCTTGCGTAGACAACTGTTTATAAATACTTGTACCTTTTTGATGATGGCTGTAGTTCTCCAAGTTTCAGCCCCGTAGAGTAGGACTCTTTTGACGTTCGTATTAAAGATTCCGACTTTGATATTGGTTGACAGACACTTTTTTCGGGTTTTTCATTTAAAGAAAAGCGACCCTTACTTTGCCGATCCTCGTCTTTACGTCTGCATCAGGTCCTCCGTTTTCATTTATGATACTACTGACCAGGTACCTGAAAGATTCTACACCTTCCAGAGCTTCTCCATCAAGTGTGATCGGGTTGGTGTTCTCTGTGTTGTATTTAAGGATTTTGCTTTTTCCTTCGTGTATGTTGAGGCCTACTGATGCAGAGACTGTTGCTACACTGGTTGTCTTCATTTGTATTTGTTCGTGTGTATAAGATAGAAGGGTTAGGTCATCTGCGAAGACCAAATCTTCTCATTGATTCCGAGCTGTCCATTATATTTCGTACTTCCCCTCGGATGTCAAGGTCTTCATAATCCAGTCAACCACCAGGGGAAAGGAAGAGGGAGAATAAGCAGCCTTGTCTTATTCCGGTCTTCACGTGGAATGCATCTGTCAGCTGTCCTCCATGCACGACTTTGCGCTGTAGTCCGCTGTATGAATTCCGGATGATGTTGACGATCTTCGCAGGTACGCCATAGTGTCGAATAATTTTCCACAATGTCCTCCTATCTACACTGTCAAACGCCTTCTCATAGTCAATGAAGTTGATGTATAGTGACGAGTTCCATTAAATCGACTGTCCAACGATGATCCGTTGTGTCACGATTTGGTTTATGCACAACCGAACCTTACGGAATCCGGCCTGTTGATCTCAAATTTAGGTGTCTACTGAGTCCATAATCTGGTTCAGCAATATTCTGTTGAAAAGCTTTCCTGTTACCAACAGTAATGTGATTCCTCTGTTATTTATTTGATTTATTTGAACACACAAATATTGGTACAAAGGGGCACCAGATACATATGCGCCACACAATAATAATGAGAATGTGAAGATATAAAGAATGAAAATGGGTATAAAAAAAGTGCAACAATGAACAGAAATTAGTGTATGAGAGTGAAATAACAATAATGGGAGAGAAATTTTAATCAGCGAAAGTACAGCGACAGAGAATCCTTCCACTTAAAGATTTTACGTCTTCTATTTAGGAAGAAAGTAAAATAAAGTTACAGCGGGATCGCCACTAGCTTCTATTTTGAGCCATATCTCTAGCCACCGTGTTGCACGATGTCTAGGACTCCAACTATGGAGTCGTGAAGGACCGACAGAAGCCAGTCCTGTATAGCTTTCTTTCATACCACAAACCATGTTAAACACTGACTACCTCCCCGCTGTTTCCAATCAGTCCCAGCGTCGGCAAATAATGCACGACATGGAATTCCCTGAAACGACAATCGTAGAAAATGTTCAAGCCACCGAAGTCGGTGTTTCGAGATGGTGATACCAATTGAATTATCGTCTCTGTGCCCGAACACACGATGCTGAACCTCTGCATTACTAACATGGTGTTGCCATTGGATGTCAGCAATCCCTCGGAGACAACGATGATCAAACACAGAGAGTCGTCTAATATTCTCAACTCGGAGAGGCCAGGTTTCACAAATATAGAGAAAAACTGCTCTCACCGATGCGTTGTAGATCCGACCTTTTACAGCTAGACTAACATTACGAAGGCGCCAAAGATGGCGCAGATTGGCATGAGCCGTTCTGGCCTTCACAATGCGTGAATTGATTTCAGGTATCGCACAGTAAGACAATATTATCTACACACTCAAGGTCGAGAAGTATTTCTCCAGGCAGTAGATCTACGCCGCCACTACTTACATCCATCAGAGCTGTTTCCATAATATCATCGATAGCACAGTTGAAGAGAAATGGTGGGATTGGCTAACCCTGTGTAACACCACTGCTTGAATGGACCAATGGAGAAAGGTGGTTATATGCTCCCACTCTGTCTGAGGTATTTGTACATAGGACTTTCAAGATGTTAATAAGATCCCCAGGCACATCCTTCTTCAACAGACAATTCGAGAGAACAGTCCTGTCCGACGAATCAAAGGCTGCCCTGATGTCAAGAAATATTACGATTGTTAGTCTTTAATAAATATGACGGTGTTCTAACATTTGGCGGAGGGTGAAGATATGGTTGATACATCCTCCATCAGAAAGAAAACCAGCCTGCTCCTCGCGAGTCAATCTTTCTGAGTTTTGAACAATCCACGAAGAATGACGGAAGCCAGAAGTTTGGACGCGATCGGAAGTAGAATTCTCCGATAGTTCTTGCATGAACCCTTTTTAAAGATAGGGACGATTATCCACTCATTCCATGATATTAGAACACTCTCTAACTGTCAAACCTTTGTAAACAACACAGCCACTTCATTAACCAGAAGGCCGCCATCATCTTCAAAAAGGGTCGGAGGTAAGTCGTCTGGACCCGGTGATTTGTAGCGCTCCAATAGTTGGAGTTCCTTGCGGACTTCCACTTCATTTGGTGGATCAGTCGTCAAAGGCCATGTAGGGCAGGACAGTCTGATCGATGTCGCCGGGGTAGCAGACCAGATAAACTGTTACCCGAAAAACTCTGCCCATCGTCCAAGACGTCGATGGATGTTAGTGATTGGCATCCCGTCATCTTTACAGATCGTTTCTCTCACAGCAGACCTCTTGCTGCCATGTCGTCCCGTGATATCTTCATACGCGGTGTTGTTCATTCCGACTTTGGCGATTTTTTTCTACGGGACGGGGTTGCCAACCCCATGCTCAACTGTACTCCTTTACCCGAACTTGAAACCGGTATTAACTCTAGAATAGCTACAAGCGGAGCTATCAGAAGACCCTGCATTTTATCAATGTCCTCAACAAAGAGAACTGTCATTTAAATATTCCAAGTCAGAAAGTGAGTGGTCTCCATATTACTACACTGCATACATTCAAGATAGAAAATTTGCTTTTCACTTACTGATGCAAACATTTTGGTAACAAGCTTTCTTACAAAATGCATAAAACCACTGCCAGGGAAGTCCCACTCACTGCCTCCTCGTGACATTACTGTTGTTTACGAAATTGAGAGGACGAAAAGCGGTTGTCCAATGCTTTAACCGCGTTGGTGGACATGGAGAGTCCACCTAGGAGAGTCGGAAAACCCTGATTCCAAACGAATGGTGTACATGGGCTCCAGTATCCTGCGGGAACAAATGGCGTATGAACCAATTATTGGTCACCGGCTACCATGGGACTGCATCTCCTTACGATGCTCCACTGCCTCGTGGATCAGACCTTCAGATCGAAGGCTCTGGGTGTGGCCCCCTAAGAGAACCACCTACTTCGGTTTGGGCACCCGGACAGTATCACAGCCCTCACACATATCGAATGATTTATGTGGTGCATATCTATTTAGTGCCTTCTTGTACCTATGTCTATGTGTTTAAATAAATAAATTCTTACAAAATACAAATAGATCACAAACTTACTGGACTTCGATTGTTCATATCGCCGACATCATTGTTTAATTCGGATTGTGAATTCAGTGCGTTAATATCATGTTCATAATGTAAGGCAGTAGGAGAATTTCTAGTTATTTCATTCTTGTTATGTAACAATAAGTCAGTAGGTTGGTCAAGTAATCCATTAGTATCATCATTATGACAAACATTTTTATTAATTTCATAACTTTCTAAGTAGTTTTTCATTGCTACTATGCAACCAGAAGTAAAACGTGAATTCGATGACAATGAATGTGATATGTTATGATTCGAACTTACACTATGCTGATTGTGACAACATGATCTATCTGCTGAAGAACAATGGTGTTGTGAAGTGATAGTATTAGCATTAATGTTGTTGACATTCTTAAGCCGATCATAGCTGACAGACTGATTCCTAAGTCGTGTACGTAAGCTAACAACTTCAGAGACTGAAGTTTTAGGGTGATTATTGGCAGACTGTGATGACTGAATGGCTACAAAAGACAAAAAGAAGAAAATCCATTATTTGAATTATGATCCACACTGTTTAACCAAATAGGACAACAGGAAGAGAATAAATTGTGTAATGGTAGGTAATAATGTTAGCGATAGAAAAAAATAAATTGAATATCAATTCTATTGATGGTAATAGGTTAGAATTAACAACGATAATCAAACAACAGATCATCCATTACCACTCGTGTTTTTGAGAAAGATTACTAAAAACGAAAGGGAAACAAAAATAACCTTTTACCGAAAGAATGAAAAAAATGTTGTCAGTTATGCTTTACCGTAAAGAAACATCGGAAGAGTTAAAAATAATTCTAAATAAACACGATATAAGTCTACTTTTGTGTAAGTGATATTACTGTAATTTAAAGTCAAGGACAGAATCTTTAAGGAATTACAACAAAATTGTGTTTAGATGTAGTGAATATGATATTTTACACGTAGGAGAAACATCCAGACAGTTGAATGTAAAAGTGCAAGAACACAATGTTTGAAACGTTACTGATATGGTAAGCCAATCAACATTAGCCATATGAGATCATTCAACGGCAATCTGAAGTGACCCGAAGGACAAGTGCATATCATTGGCTAGGGAATGAATTGATTTTCTAAGGGGTATATATTTATATATATCAGAATAATCGGCATAGGAGAGACAGAATGCAGTTACCTACATCATGAGGACTGCTGATTTACAAATAAAAACGATCCCATCTATATCACTCATAACAGGATCCCAACAACAATGAGTGATTAATTATCTAATAAATTACTTCATTTGGATTTACCTCTAATTAATTTTTACATTACAAACTTACTCTATAGTTATTTTTAGTTGACCCAAACCTTGATTAGCTTAACTTACTCTTACATATTTTCAGACTTATGTATGATGAATGAAACAATCAACTGGTTCCTATCGGTAGTCAGTTGTGATAAATCTTCTAACTGGACGCTCGAATCGATTTCATAAGCTCTTCTAATAACCCCAGGCTAAATCTATACGATAACTTAAACACGTGAGAAAAGGTGCGAAGTGTGAAAAGAACGCTTTACTATAAGATTAGTTCATGTACACAAAATCAAGGGTATTAATAGTATTTCTGGTGGCCTTGGGTTCCGGAGTTTTCTGGAACCATGCTAAATACTGTAGTAGGGTAGGTAATCAATCAATCACAAATGCGACAACACGTGGCTCTTCACTCTCTATATTTTTCTGAGAAACTTCTATTCTACGCTGATTGGGCAGTATGTTTCCCATCGTTTTCAGGGACCCTCTGGACTTTTTCGAGGAACACTTTTAATCTCCCCAACACCTTTCCTTTTTCAAAAAATAAGACATATTCGTTGGATTTTCTTATAACTTGTAGGTGTTCCTTCTTTCTTAGTATCTTTTGAATCCAATTGATTAGCTAGCACTCGCCATATCAACAACAATAGTTTGAATACACACGCATGTTATATTGGGAATACTATTAACACCAAATGACTCACGTTTTATGTACTGAATCAACATTAAAGCATAATTCGACAAGTATTTGTATGGACTTACATAAAATTTGTCTTTCATTGAAACCATGAACCTATCAAAGGTGGACAACTATTGGTAACGTAGAAAAAATGAATAGCTGTTTTGTCCTAGCGCGGGACTCCTCAGCAGTGGGTATACACGGTCCTGCACACGGGAGTCGAACCCAGGACCTTCAGTCTCGCGCGCGAACGCTTGACCTTTAGACCACTGAACCGGTACTCAACGGTGTTAGTGTCTTTAATAATTTACCTGATAAATCTTGAACCAGATTGTTAGGCGAAATCTTGGGAGTATTTAAATCCTGATTTCAAACGTAACTTACAAATATGTCTTCCCTAAATACATGATGTTTATCAAGTTTTCCTTCCAAACTTGATGAATATTAACGTAAACTGTGGTATATAGTTAATGTCTTAACACAGATGAAAAAATACTAACAAACTACAAGATGGAAATCAAATATTATGTTATGAAGATAGTAACAACATAGCTACTGGCAACAAACAGTCATACCTAATGTCTGCATAACAGTATTAAGAACTTCTAGAGGAATTTATAACAGTTTACTCCTTGAATTTTGTGCCGATTTTGTTTAGGAACTATTAGCTTTGAAAGTAAAACATCCAAATGAAATAGCACAGAATTATCAATTTAAAAAGCAACTTAACAGACGGTAAGCAAACTAAATACGTGTCGATAAACATATCTAATATTCGATGGAAGATTATAATCAGGTAGATTTCTGCCATCATGAGCAGTCTTGAAATAAATTTCACTAAACTGCCAAAATACTGATTTCAACCATCTTCAAAACACTCAACCATAAAGCAGACACTTGTCTACACAGCTCGAATCATTGGTAAGTTACTTCAGAAATTAGTTTAACTATTTACGGCTTTTCTCCAACCCACTTCTACTCTACCCAACTAAACACAACGGAGTACGTAACAATTCCAGCTATCTCTATACATGTTAAGAACTTTCTATCGGATGACTTACTCCCAAGAAAATTCCACATGAACTCCTCATTCTTGAATGTTGTTCCAGAAAACCCTTTGAGATCTATGGTTGAATATCTTTGACAGTCCCACCCCCTGGTGTTATATACCTTTATTGATTATTTCGAAAACAGCTTTGTATTAGTAGAGATCAGACTGCTGTGAAATAAACTAGAATCTTGGCTAGCAGGTGGTTATTATAATAACTGACACAACTAGAATGTATAATGATACCATAAATCATTACATAACTAGGAGTATTATTATGCATCTTGAAAATAAGAACCAATTATTTCCCATAAATCCGTTAAAGGATGTAAACCCAGAGGCATCTAGAACTTACTGTTACCATTGACGGGAGGTTGAAGGTTGTGAACACTTTTAAAATGACTTGCAATATCATGTGTAGTACGATTAGGATCACCTTCTGTTTGAATTGCACAAAATGGACAAAGTACTTCTGAATCAATAGCATTAGGATGATGAGTAAAAACATGACTTGATAAAGACGATTCTGTAAAGCCTAACTGGCCACATACTGAACAAGTGAAACTTTGAACAGAATATTTAGTTGAGCTCTTTAAAAAAAAATAAGTAATCAAATAAAAGGAACTATAAAATAAGAAAGATTAATGAAATGCATGAAACGATCCTTTGAAAACGATGTGTAAAAGATCCAGATTTTTTTAGCTAACAGATTGTCTTGCAACCATATAAACAGCTATCTACAATACAACCTAATATCTATATTTTACAGGTAAATACATTCATCTGTCATAAGTATTCTTTTGAGGATCTGGTATGTCAATGAATACTTTATGAGTGTCAGCTGTATTGCAATATACAGCAGTAAATACCAATCAAAATAAACTGATGAGTACAAATGGTTTACATTGTTTACTAAAACTGTATATCAAGCAGCCGGAAGAACACACTGCTTATTTGGATTGAGCGAATATAATATTGGTTTTAAAAAATGAGCATTTCAAGTTCAAATCTATAGATTAACTTGCTATGGACTATAGTGGCAAACATCCAATATGAATAGCTGATCGAATCGTGTAAAAGAAAGGAAATGTGGTTTAAAAGGTGTCATTTGGCCTACAAGTTTGGGCCTGTACTGCTGACCAATTAAAAGCAGCTTTGATTGTAAACAACGAGACCCGACACAGAACACCTCTTGATATTTTCCTGGACAGCTCTGAAATCAAACCGCCTGAAACGGACAGGCTAGTCTCGGTATAAGCAGAGTGATACCACTTCTTTATTGCCTAGAAGATCGACAAATTAAAAGTATAGACCAGTCACACGGTTGAGGTGGAACTTAACACCAGATCCTACGAATCTGTTCAAAGGAGGGTGTTAGTGGGATATTGATTGGACCAATGTATGTCCCGTGCAGGATTAAGTTGGTCATTTCTTAACCGATCAACGCCAGAGGGTACTTGGAGAACTCATAACAGTTGTCTAGATAAAATTAGATCAAAATGTCTGAAATCTAGTCCAATAGACGAAGATTGAATACCTAAACTACCGAGTTAAACTATACTGGAACTGGGATTGTCATCTGCTATAAATCCTACTTATCTGGCATTTTTAAACAATATTTTTCGTGATAAAAATCAATGTACATATATTGAAAACTAGAAAAAAGTTACTCACCTCACCACAGTAAAATACATTATGATCTGCTTTAGTGATCAAACATTGCATCGGATGAGAATTTAAATGCTTTTCAGTTTCTTGTTGATTATCAAAACAGGTCCCACAAAGATCATAGTCACGACAAATTAGACACTTATATCGCCTAAACCTGAAGTCTCTTCGTGAACATCCGTTACAAGTCACACCTTGATGTGAAAAAAGATTTTTAAAGATTGCCAGAACTTTTACAAAAGTTTACAAAGTATTTTTTTAAAAATGGACCCAGTAACTGACAACTTAATTGTGAGATCAACTGGCTTAATAAAAAGATAGTACGTAACTGTTCAAACTCATAACCTAGTACTAAAAACTAATGAATTACATCTGCATCAGTAATGCTGTAACGTGTTTGGTGACAGAATTTCGCGTATTAGTTATAGAAGTCTCTATATTCGGGAACAAGGTGAGTTGGGAGAGTAAGTTCCTAAAAAATAGCACAATGATTTACTTTATTTTCTAATTAAAGCACAATCATTTAATACAACAGAAACCAAACGTTGAATATAACAATTTTTAGGTCAGAAAGACCGAGCTTCATATAGAAGAAACAATCATAGCATGGACCATCATTTAGCCCTCTTTATTTCCATCCAGTTACAATCTGTCAGCAAATATCAAATGTTTGCAATTTTAGTCTCATGAGAAGTTGCTGGTCAAATATCTAGTAACACTTTGTATCATCAATCAACTATCATTTGATTTTTCACTTTCAGCAGTCATAAAGTACTCACACAAATGCTAAAACTTTGATCTAGTTTCATTTTAAAAATCATAATAAAGACGGGACGTATTTGAACTTAGCACTTTTGGTTCAGAATGTAGTTTCTGAATATAACTTCCATACTCATATACAGTTTTCCAGGCGAAAAATCAGAACTAGATTGTTAAACATGAGTTCTTAGCTTAGAGAGCAAGATGAAACAATGAAAGACATCAGCAAGTTGGGACTTGATGAGTATGTAATTTTTTTATTTGATTATTTGAACATAAATATTGGTACGAGGGGGCACCAAATACATATGCGCCACACAGTAACAATGAGGTTGTGAAGAGACAGAGAATGTAAAGTGCGTATAATAAGAAGAGCAACAACGAACAGAAATTAGTGTATGAGTGAAATAATAATAATAATAATAATGAGAGAAACAGTCCAATCAGCGAAAGTATAACCAGAAGGGATTCTTTCAGTTAAAGAAGTTACGTATTCTTTTTATGAAGAAAGTAAAATAAAGTTACAGCAGCATCACCACTGACTTCTATTCTGAGCCATATCTGATAACGTTTCAAGCCACCATCTCTAGGACCCTAACCAGGAAGTCATGAAGAACAAACAGAAGCCAGTCCTGTACAGCTCTCTTTCATACCACGACACAATGTCATACACTGACCATCTCCAGTGGGTCTCAGCGCCGGAAAGTGATGGATGACGTGGAATTTCCTGGAACGACATCCGTAGGAAATGTCCAAGATAGTAACAAAAAGTTGTCTAACATCCTCAACTCGGAGAGACCAGATTTCACAAGCATAGAACAAAACTGCTCTCACCGACCTTTTACAGCCAGAAAACATTGTCTAATACCACTACTTGCATGAAACAATGAAGAGAGGTAGTTATATACCCTCACTCTGACTTAGGTGCTTGTATACGGGGCGTTCAAAATGCTAATAAACTTCTCAGGCACACCCTTCTTCAATAAGCAATCTCCGACAACAGCTCTGTCCAACTAATCGAAGGCGGCCCTAATGTTAAGAAATGCTAGGATTTTTGACCTGTAATAAGTATGACGGAAGTCCTACTAACTGCGTTCTCGCGGCGATGATGTTGTTTACGAAATCGAGAAAACGGAAAGCGGATTTCCAAGTTCGTTGGCATGGATGATCTATCTAAGGCGGTTGGAAAACCTTGATTCCAAACCAATGGTGTAGATGAGTTTCAGGATTCTGAGGGAACAAGTGACGTATGAACCTGTTATTAGTCACCGATCACCGTGGGACTGCATCTCCTAACATTACCCAACTGCCTTGTGAATTAGATATCTGGGTTAAAGGCCTAGAAATCGGTCCTCCAAAATAACCACCTGCTTCAGTTTGGGCACTCGGGCAGCATTACAGCCCTGGCACAAATCAATGGTAACTACGACAGGAAAAATCTCTTGCTTCGAAGCTCTCTCAGGCAAATCTTATTCACAAACATTTGATAACATTCACTTATGTATTCCTCTCTATCCTCAATTTGCTTACTTTATTTTTTAACTTATACAGCAGCTTGCCTGTGGTGAAAACCCTGTCTTATCTAAACGATCTCAGGTCACTGAATGGTCGAAAGTTGAATGTTACCACCGACTACGAATACTGAAACAGTCTTTCTGAAACCACGTATACCGTTCAAACTGGCCTCCAACGTTAGCACACTAACCCAAACCAGACAACAGACAGGGTTGACTATGTCTTTAGAAAGTCACAACACCGATGTTCGTTGTCTATCCGATATCCATATTCAACACTCTAGTGAAGTACCACTAAGTAGGAAGAAATCCAGTCAGTCAGTCAGTCAGTAACAACGTAGAACTTCGTACGTACGTACATCAGTTCGAGTTGCCACACCACATTAGCATAGAGATGCAGTGGTCGATTCAAATCCCGTAGTGTTAGAGGTAATAAGAGTATAAGCAGTAATCGGGAAGATTAGTGTTTGGAGATGTTACTTAAAGAGTATAATACAGTGAAATAAATTTGAGAGGAGAAAAAAAAGAGACAAGGAGGAATAAGGAGATCAAAATTTGGGAGAACACAAAGAGTGGATGCACCTGCGCCATTGCAAACGATTTTGAGCCATTTCATTCAGAGTCTCTAACCATCGGTTGCTATCATCTCGCGGTCCCTAACCAGGTAGTCTACATCTACCGACATGACTCAGACCACTTGTCAGTGACTTCATGAACTTGTGCCATGTTTTGGTCTGGCCACCCTTAGCTTTCTTCCAACCTACTCCTATACCACTGAACATCGCACGTCGAGGCAGTCGGTCGTTGGGCATACGTAACGTGTCCAAGCCATCTCAACTGATGAAGTTTCACTACGTCATCAATTGATTTACCATCCTTACCTAGTACCTGTTTCCTAACAACTATGTTACTTACTCGATGGTCCCACGATACACCAGCAATATTTCGAAGACACCTATGATCAAATACCAGTAACCTACGAATATCCTCTACTCTTACCGGCCATGTTTCACTGCCATAAAGTAGGACGGAACGAACTGCTGCGCAGTAAACACGTCCTTTGGTTGATAGACGGATATCTCGCCTACGCCATAAATGACGCAAGTTGGCAAAAGCTAGTCGAGCCTTCTGTATCCGTGCTGAGATTTCGTCACACACCAGACCATAAGGGCTGATGAGACTTCCAAGACAAGTGAAGCGATCGACCCGCTCAATTACTTCAATCCCTATCATTAGTTCGGGTGTCAATGCAACCCAATCCTGAAGCAACATTTTGCATTTCGAGGGGGAGAATTGCATCCCGAACATGCTTGCATTGTTGCTTAGAGTGGTCAGAAGACTCTGCATTTCTTCAGCGTCTTCGCCAAATAAAACTATGTCATCAGCATATTCTAAGTCAACAAGTGAACCTCTCGGTAGAAGTTCAACCCCTGGAAATTTAGATGAGGAGAGTGTTATCTCTTAAAGTACGTCAATGACAAAGTTGAACAAGAATGGGGAGAGTGGGAGAAATCCGACAGATTGCAGACCAGATACAATTAAGGATGAGTTTTACCATCCATTAAGTGATGTCCTGCAGAAAGCACGTTCGACAAATATTGGAGTACTAACCGGAGATTTGTATGCACAGGTCGATCATTCAGATACAGAGGTGTGATTTGGATGACCAATTTGGACTTGTCAACCACTGGTCAGATAGCGACGACCGTTTCCTGTAACTGAGTAAACTATAACCGGTTCCTGGCTAGCAATAACTGTCGGAAAAGTCGTCGCCGACATGCTACCTGGTGTCCTCCTTCTACATATCAAGCCTGGACTCATTGATCACACCACAATCAGCTACCGCTAGCATGGTTGTGTATAAGACTACCGCTCCTTCTGGAGTACTTATCTTGACTCTGACGATGCCCTCTTTTGAATTACTCTGATTTCACATTTCAGTAGCCAAAAAATTCATCGTCCCAAACAGATCGATGTCAGTAAATTAGTTGCAGTTTCCGTTGCAACTAAATATCAAACCGAGCTAGGCTCAAGGCTGGTTACCATCACACCGAAAAGTATGGATGAGCATTGAGGGTATTTGTATAAAGCCGTGAAAATGGAGAGTAAAGTCGCATGCGATTTCGCGAGATGTCCTGTTTATGAACACTGGGTTTCTACAAGCTTTTTACAACCCTTTAGGGCACGTCACTCTATTCCGGCTAACCACGAGCTTGATGATAAACGTAGGTTCTTACGTAAGGACATTTTGCAAAGTTTGCGCAAGGTCCAAGAAGTCTGGTGGTTAGAGCGGGCCAATAATTTGGAAGCAGCAGCTGCATCTGGTAACTGCCGGAAGCTTTTCCGGCTTATCCGAGTCACTGGCAGCAAGCAGTCTGGTGCAAAACAATCGGTGAAGCTGATGGGATTCCAATCAAACACAAGTACCGATATATTGGATGATAGGTAGTTTTTTCGAGTAACAGATTACCTGGTCTGCTGCCCCGGCGATGTCGATCAGACTGTCCTGCCCTACATGGCCCGTGACGACTGATCTTTATTTATTTATTTTCTTTTAACACAAAGATATTGGTACAAGGAGGCACCAAATACATATGCACCACACAGATCTCACTAGATTTGTGTGAGGGCTGTGATACTGACCGGGTGCCCAAACCGAAGCAGGTGGTTCTCTTAGAGGGCCACTCCCCGAGCCTTCGATCTGAAGGTCTAACCCACAAGGCAGCGGAGCATCGGGAGGAGATGCAGTCCCATGGTAGCCGGTGACCAATAGTTGGTTTATACGCCATTTTTCCCGCAGGATATTGGAGCCCATGTGCATCATTGGTTTGTAATCCGGTTAAAGCGCCGGACATTCGCTTTCCGTCCTCTCATTTTCGTAAACAACAGTAATGCCACGAGAAGGCAGTGATTAGGACTTC